TATACTACATTATATTGAAATAGAAATTAAGTATTTTTTTATTTTATTTTTATTATTTATGAATAAAGTGATTGTTGGTATTTATTATCATATCTTCATATGTTCCCGTAATCTCGTGTCTTGTTTATTTATTATCATATCTCATATGTTCCCGTATCTCGTGTCTCGTATGCAACCTAACTTCTGATATATGAGACTACTCCATACGTCAAGGTAATCATTAAAATAAAAAAATTAAATATTTTTTGATTTTATAGTTTAGGTTATATGTATTCTCATTTTTTATTTGTTCATGCATTTTTGTGTTTGCAGCAACCATAAAATTCATTTTTTGTATATAACTTCGTTAGCTTTATAATTGATTAGTTTTAGTAGTTTATAATTTTTTTAAGCTTAAAAAAATCTTTTGTAAATTTAATATTGAGAGAATTTAGTGCAAACATAAATAATTCGATAAAAAATTAAAAATATAAAATTAATTCTAAATGATTTTTTACTTATATCAAAATGGAAATTTTAAATTTTGTAAATAATTCCATAAAAATTTTATAGAATGCTTTATACCGAACAAGTCCTTAGAAGATAATTTAGGGCATATGCATATCATTCAACTACTTATAGGTACCCTTTTGATGCAAATGCACGCCTGGCTATAATCTTTCTTTCCAAGTTAATATATATAGCCAAATTAAAATATTAAATATTGTTCACATAAATATTTTATTTCAGTTGATATATGTTTACTGGTACCACATAATTTATAAAGTTAATGACATGGCAGGTTAAAATTAAGATTTATTCAGTGCAAAATATAATTATCATTACTAATTAAATAATTAAATATGTAATACAAAAATTTCATTAAAATTATCTAATTTTAAAAGCAAAAAATTTTGTACAATTAAAAATTACTCCCTCTGCCCAATATACATAGACCTAATTTGATTTTCACATAGTTTAAGAAAAACTAATTAATATTTGAACTATACTTTTTGTTTAATTTATTCTTAAATTACCCCTTAAATTATGCAACAATTGAAAGTATAGATGTATCATTAAATAGGGGTATATTAAAAAATTAAATAATAAATGATTTTTTAAAAATGAAATAGAACTATTTTTTGAGATAAATGAAAAAGAAAAGCTAGCATAAATATATGGGATGGGGGTGTATTAATAATTCATGCAAAGCACAGTTAATTAATACTTAATAGAACAGGCATAGATTGAGCCCATAGAAAGACACAACCTGAAAGATAAAATGACATCCTTGTCATCTTGTCAATTAGTAGCATATAAAAGATTGTTAAAGAATTAGTATTGCTTAATTTCCTAAACCACATCATGCTCAAATATATTTCAACTCTCTCTCTTCTTCCTAGAAGAATAGAAGAAGCACTTATTAAGTGATAACACCAATAATCTCCATCTAGAAAGGTAGAAACCCATGACTTATCAAAGGTAATTAATTAAATATTGACTATAGAATAATATTACTGGATACACAATATGAATATCTCTTTCTGACTCCTCATATCTTTTAAGTGGTAAGACCAAACAGATTACAAATGATTGACGAATGTTGCTTTTAATTACACTTATAAATAAATCCTAATTTTATTGAAAAATTAAATCTATAAATTTAAAGGATATTTTTAAGATAAAATTAAGTGATTTAAATTTCACCTTTAATAAAAAAAAATTATGAAATTAAAATCACTATAGAATTCATCGATATTATAGATTATGGCTTCTTTTTACTAAGCCAAAAAAAAAAAAAATGGTATTGCATACGTAATATTACATCATTAATTTTATTTTATTTTTTCTTGTGGAATAGACACATTCTATTTTGAGTTCCATTATATGATTTTGAGAAAAAAGCTTAAATTAAAATTTGGTTATATCCCATCAATATGTGAACAAATAATTATTCGGGAGAAGACTAAATTCCCACTGTATATAAATTCTTCTGGCTGTCAATATCCAAGAAATCCGATAATCACTTGTTGATATGTTCCAGCAATGCCAACATCAAAGGATCAAATATACTTATGGCTATTGTGCAATTGGTTTTCCTGATATACATATATATTATTAAACTTCAGATGGTTATTTTTTCAACCATCCATCTATCTATATAAACATACAATCTCTAAGATATAAATGTTTAAATGGCAACTTATTATATGATAATGTAACATTTTATTTTTTCATTATAATTAATATTTTTTTTACATTTAACAAAAATTGAATTTTTATCAAATAGTTTTTTTCTATTGAAAAAACTAATGGAGTTACGAATTAATAAATCTAATTGATGATTTCATTATAAGTAATATTTTTTAATTTTATTAATGTAATTATACCGAGTGTTACATAATCATTTCAAAATCTATAACCCTCAATTAAAGGTTTCATTTAATGACTCACTGCTTGGTCATTTAATGTCTTATCTTCCGCTCAAACTGAGGCAAGGGTAATACCATTTTTTTTAAAAAAAAATTTTTGTACTATCACCTTTGTGGGATACGGTTCAATCATTTATTCTTTGGATTATCTAGTTTTCTATTTTTACTTCTATCAATTATGTGTAAAAGGAAAAAAAAATTAATTTGTTGTCCATTTATGAGGAAACTAACTTGATGAAAATGGCTTTAAATTTATCCAAGTGATGAAATTTAGATTATAAGTTATTATTGTTTTTAATTCTTGCAAAATAAATCAAATTTCTTTGAACATGTGAATTCTATTTGAGTGCCTGATCTCTTCACATACCTAAATTAAAAAAAAAAAAAAAAAAAAAAACACATACCTTAAATTAAAAAAAAAAAAAAAAAAAAAAAAAAAAAAGACAAGTGAATATAGTATTCAGTTAATTAGTAATTCAATTAATCAAAATCCAACTTTAAATAATTACTCTCTCTCTCTCTCTCTCTCTCTCCATTCTTTTCATTTTTTTTTTTTGAAAAAAAAAAAACCACATGGGGGAGAATTCATTGGATATGAAGTTTCATGGGACAAGATGCAATGATAACACACACACATATACATATATATATATACACACACACTAAGATGTAGATAATATATAGATATATATATATTAGAAGTTCCTAACTTGAACAACAAACTAAAGAAACCTTTTTGCTCCAATGGATGTTGATTTTCAGGAACTTGCCCTTACAACCATCCATTCAATGAAATTATTGGTACAATGTTAATTTTTTTTATTATTGTTAGTGCAAAAAAAAAAAAAAAAAAAAAAAAAAAAAAAAAAAAAAAAAAAAAAAAAAAAAAAAAAAAAAAAAAAAAAAAACTCATATACATGTATATGTATATACTTAGATTAGATCCAAAAACGAATGTTAGTAGATAATTCTAAAAAAGTAAAATAAACAAATGAGTCCGTTGGCCATTGCTTTGCAAGACTAATAAAAGTTTAAGGATAAACACAGAGAAGAGAAGGATTAATTTAATTTAATTTAAAAAAGTGAAAATAAGCAGAAGGGTTCATACTCATAGTGGGGCTAATGTAGAGAAGAACATATAATGATTAGCTATTTGATGTGGACAGATGGAGATTCTGACATGGAAGACAGGTGGATCAAAAAGACAGGTGCCAAGTGGCAAAGGGCGGCGCACCAAACAGACAATGGGAGCTGGATTGTGGGAGAGAGGAGCCATTGCTTAACTACAGAATGGCATAAACACCATGTCTGGTTAAAAGAAAAAAAAAAAAAAAAAAAAAGATAGGTAGAAAGGTTAAAAAAAAAAAAAAAAAAAAAAACTAATGATAGGTAGAAAATTAAAATGCATATATTAAACATTTTAAACTTTTTCTTTGCAGACAGTTTTCTTTTCTTTTTCATTTGTTTAAAAAACAGAAAATATTTTTACACAGCTCGTACAGGACACAGCCACAATCTAAATGGAATGAAAGATTATAATGCTCTTGAAAATTCCTTTAGCAGTTTTGATAGTATTAATGTCATATGATGGATGTAATTATAAATATATACAGACTGTGCAAAAATCGCAACGTGTACCATTTAACAAACCTCATTAAAAAAACAGGTTTAATTAATAATTCTAAAGAAGAAATTAAACTAAATAATTACAATTAAATGCTACACCGCATATATCCTGGATTTCTGCAAAGAAAAAGAAAGACATGATGGAGATAGCTTTGAAGGATAAATACCCACTGCGAGTGTTGATGCTAACTTAACCAATCAATTTGTGTTGAAATTAGCTTCACCGTAAATGCAAAATACTTTCATCTCATAGTAAGTTTTTGATTCAGCAACATTATAGTCATTTTCAAAAAAATAAGATTCACGTTCTACTAGTGAAAAGAAAGAAAAAAATAAGAATGAAAAGATATAATATTTCATATATATTTATAATATTTCAAATATATTGATTCTAAGTTTTTATAAAACAAAAGGAGTATAACAAACTGAATTACATCAAACAAAATTTAGATAAGAAATCATGAAAACGATTTATTGAACTCTACTCGTTAATTACTCTATCAGTTCCAAAATATAAATTATTTTTAAATGATTATTTTATCTTAAAATATAAATCGTTTTGAGTATTTTAAAGAGTAAAAAAAGATATTTTTTTAATTTTATTCTTATTTATATTGGATATAATAATTATCTTTATAAATTACTTTTGATTTTGTGATAGAGTAATTTAGTCAAATTATCATGGGTTTGTCATAATTTATGAGAATTAATTGTTTCCTTAATTCCTGTATAAAAGCCTTAAATAGTTTATATTTTGAGCCAAAAGGAGTAATTAATTAGTTAGTTATTTGTGAGAAAAAAAAAAATGGTAATGACTGTATATGAGTAGTTAAAGTAAGAGAGGAAATATAAATCTTAGGGCGCAAAATAGCGGTGGGGAGGGGGTGGCGTGAAAATATGTTGTCACGCCGTCCAAACAAACCTTTCATCTATCTGCCACCCCACGCGCAATCAATAACTCTTTCTCTACAACATCTCTATTTGTACTATATATATGTATTTATATATGCCTCTCTCTCTTCTTATAACTCAAAAAAATTATACACACCATTCTTTCTAAAAGCTCCCATCTCTTTCTTTCTTCACAGTAACACTCACCCTTTCTTCTTCTTTCTCTGATCTTGATTCCATATCAGTTCAAGCACAAGGTTCAACCTTACATTCTTCTTGTTCTACCATCGGTATGTATGCATATATGTGTGTGTGTGTGTGTGTGTGTATATATAATATATTGTTATGTATGTATATATGTATGTATTTTCCATATATTATCAGTAAGTTCTATTTTTCTTGTAACTAATGTTAATTTCTTTCTTTCACATGAATTTGGTTCATGGAAGAAGTTAGTCTCTTTTGATGTTTAATAGTGCTAGATCTTTGAAAATTAATTCTTTAGTGTATGTGAGTCCAATATTTCTTAAACATAACTATATTTAAAAATAAAACAAAAGTTTCATTGGATCGAATAAGCTCCATAAAGGGTATGAGACAAAGGAAATATATAGTATATAATGTTTTGTTTTTTTCTTAATTAGGATCATTTAATAGGTTGTTAAAATATAAGTTAATCAAAAGTAGTTGTATGGTTGTGACATGCTTAAATTAGCATTATAGAGAGTGTAATTGTCATTGAAAAAATGATCCCACTATATACGTATAGATAGTGAATAATGTAGAATTTAGTAGCAGCAAATAAAAGCTGGTGGTGGTGATAGTGGTGGTGGTGGGTATGTGAAAACGTTTTTCCACCACCAAAGCCAAAGAGTGAGCAGTAGCGAGAGAGCGAGAGAGAGAGAGAGAGAGAGAGAGAGAGAGAGTGCACTGCACTCAAAGAAACATTAACATGCTTGTGCCAGCAAAGTCAAGCTTTTCGGCCAACTTTTGTGTTCAGTAAACTTTGGCCGAATGTTCATGCAACTATATATATATATATACATACAGATATATAGGCCGAATGTTCATGCAACTATATAACTATAGTATACATAGCAATATATATATATATATTATATAATATATATATATATATAAATATATATATATAATATTAATACATATATATATATATAGATAAAGGCATAATAATAATAATAATAATAATAATAAACATAATTATAAGCTACTTAACGGTAGCTTAAAATATCTATGTCTTGTTTGGTGGGTTCCCACAACTGGTCTGCCATTTTTATCTTGTAAAATATCAATTTGTAGCTGAAACACATGCTTGACCACTTTCACTTCACGACCCCACTTCATCATAACTATACCCTAGCTAGGTTTATGATCTAGTTGATGAGGGATTGGAATTTTGGAAATCAATCATCATTTCATCACAATTACAGCCATTTCATCACAATTACAGCCTAGGGCTCAAATTTTGTCTTGGTGTTTAGAGTGGAATATTTCATCACAATTACAGCCTAGGGCTCAAATTTTGTCTTGGTGTTTAGAGTGGAATATTTCATCACAATTACAGCCTAGGGCTCAAATTTTGTCTTGGTGTTTAGAGTGGAATATTGCAACTCCTTTGCATTAATCATTTTGTATACATTATAAATTTTTACAGAAAAAATTAATTGAAGGCACCGTTAAGATAACAGTAATGGAATATAATATAATATGTTGTTTATGTAATAAATTATTATAATAAGCAATTGGATAATTAGCACACCAAATGATAACCATTCCTAGAAGTGAAGAGTCATACATATATGTGTCTTTTTAATGGAATTCCTTTGTTGTTAGGCCTACGCTAAAAGAGCCTTTAAGCTTGTGTTTTGTCTTAACGATTAAAAAACTCAATTAAGACCCTTACTTCGTCAAGTGACAAGTTGTAGTAAGATGTGACATGCATATAACATAAAGCAATATTATTGGTTCAATCCTGAAATAGGAACTCTCTCTCTCTCTCTCTCTCTCTCACTTACTTAGCCTTTTTTCACTCAGGGGGATTGAAAAGATTTATCAATGGAGATGGAATCATGCGTTCCACCAGGCTTTAGGTTTCACCCAACAGAGGAAGAACTTGTGGGTTACTACCTCAAGAGAAAGATTAACTGTTTGAAAATTGATTTAGATGTTATTATTGACATTGATCTCTACAAAATGGAGCCATGGGACATCCAAGGTACTTTTTTTCAATTCTTTTTTTCATGTGAAACTTTTATTAGTGATATTGGAAATTGACCAAATAAGGAACCAATAGAAAAATGGGAATGGACCTAAAAGAATAAAAGATTGTATTTCAGAGATAAATTTCATAGACTAAACGTGGTTTTATGCAAATTAAGCTAAAGACGCGTGATTTTTACAGGAAGATGCAAATTAGGGTATGATGAGCAAACTGAGTGGTACTTCTTCAGCCACAAGGACAGGAAATACCCTACCGGAACACGGACTAATAGAGCAACTGCTGCCGGATTTTGGAAGGCAACAGGCAGGGACAAGGCTGTTCTATCGAAGAACAAAGTTATAGGGATGAGAAAGACCCTAGTTTTTTACAAGGGTCGTGCACCTAATGGAAGAAAAACTGATTGGATTATGCATGAATATCGACTTCACACAGCCCACCAGGCAAGTTTCTTTCATCTTTTGACAACACAAATTCCTATTTCTCAAGATATTCTATCTTTGAGACAACACAAGATTCCTGTTTCATCTTTTGCATGAATATTCTATAGTTTCTTTCATCTTTATTAATATTCATTTATGCACTAGTTGTAATAAGTAAATCTTTTGGATGGCAATTGCAGGAAGAAGGGTGGGTAGTGTGTAAAGCATTCAAGAAACCAAGCCCTAATCAAAGGCCAGGCTTTGAAGCTTGGAATCATACTTATTGTGCAAATATTACGCCTCCGTCATTTTCAGACAATAATATGGTTCATAATCCAAACCAAACCACAACAAGTACTTTTCACCAACCAATAATTAGCACATCAAAACAAGATCATCATAATCATTATAATAATCTAGTAATTCCAAGCCACTCTTTTTGGGATAACAATAACCAACTCATTGACCTTCCACAACTAGATAGCCCTACTACACTCTCTTCAAGTTTTGTAACTAATAATTTCCACCATAACAATAACAATAATGGTGTCACTAATGATGATTTTGAGGAAGAAAGGAGCAATATTGGCACTACCCATTTGGTTGATTGGAAAATTTTGGATAATTTACTTGCAACACAAGTTTCTGATACAAGCTCACCATTTCCAATCTCAAGTTTGCCTTCCATTTTACCTCAAACTTATGATCTTGAACCTCATAATAACCATGTTACCCATTTTCTTGATTGCTTTCCTGATTCATAACCGAAAATTATAAATCATAATGGACTCAGTTTTTTAGGGCTGTGATGAGATTCTGAGTTTAGCAACCCACTAGCCTTTAACACTATCATTTATATGTCAGAATAATAATCATAGATAGTGCTAGGGGATATCTATAAGGTGAAGGCCTATGTTTTAGAAGGTATTCAAGAAATTGCATATGTATTGATCACGTATTTAGGAAAGAAGAAGAAGAAGAAGAAGACCTATGATTAGAATTTAATGTGATATAGAGGAAGAGATTTCACATGCAAATTGAATCTCTCTTACCATAAGTTCAGAGTCGTCAAGGGAGGTGAAGCTTTTAATTCACCTTTTCCTTTTATTTTTTATTGCTTACTGCTTTTGGTTAATTATGTTTATTTCATAAGTGTAAATTTTTTTGTCATTACATGCATTTGTTACGATCATGATTGTGTACTAATGATAATGTTTCTATCTACCCTACTTTCTTTTTTCTTAGCATTCTTGCTTGCAAGACTTTAAGTCTTCTCTAGATTATATTTTATTTACTAGTATTTTTTACCATATGATATATGAAGCTTTGGTTTCTGTAGTGTTATATATAGCCGCCATTTTTTCACTATTGGGATATCTCTCTTAGGGTATCTGCAATTATGTTGCTCTCTCTCTCTATATATATATTTACAAAAAGGAAGAAAGTCAAGCCCTCCACACATAAAACCTGAGATAACTTACCCAATTGCTATCTTGAATAATCCAATTAGATAATTTGTGAAGAACATCCATGAAGAGGGAGAAACTTATCTAGAACAGGTCTATGGCTCCACCTGTGAACCAAGCCAATAGAATTAAAGATTTTTATTAAAACAAAGTGCCCCACTTGTGGACCAAATCAATAGAATTAAAGATTTTTATTGAAACAAAGATATTTTTAACCATACACTTAGAAAAAAAAAATTGGAACACATTTTAAAAAATCTTTAATTCTATTGATTTGTTTCACAAATAGAGCCATAGACCCGGTCTAGGCTAAGTTTTTTCCCACGAAGATATGTCAATCCAAAGGCACAGAAGTAACAAAATCAGCCTATCAGCCTGTACATGCATTTGTTTCTCGAAATATGGGAAATAGAACCAATCCAATCTTCTTGGAATAACTAATGGAATGGAAGTGACAGGTTTGAGTCACAAAATAAAACTTGTCTATACTTAATATATAGGTGGCCTTATATACCAAATAAATCGATAAGGATATTTTTATCTTTTTTTTTTTTTCAGTGCAAGGTCAGAAATATTTTCATTTAAACTAAAATACTATATATGATTTGATTCGGTGTACAGTGAGAGTCCGTATACCTGGTCTAGATAAGTCTTTCCCAAACATGCAACCTATATACTATTAACTTTTCTTATTGATAATTATGAGCTTAAAAGACTTGAGTGGCAAGAGAATGCGCATTAAACTTAATACTTGCTTAGAGTTTTTTTTTTATTATTATTTATTATTTTTTATTTTTTATTTTTTTTTAAAGCCACTTATATACTACGTCAATAGAGAGCTGCCATTTTGAATAGTTATTTTCTTACAGTATTTTTAAAAAAAAAATTCATAAATTGAATTGTTAAGAATGAGATATTGAGATGTTTCTTTATTTATTTATTAAATGTATCATATTGTTGTGGGGAGTGTGCAGCTTAAAGAAAACTTAATTTTAGTAATGCATACAAAAATTAATTCAAAAACCTCCTAATTATAACCATTTGCTTGGGTGAATGTATTTTGTTGAAGGGAGGAAAACAACTTTGTAAAATATCTAGAAAAATGTATTTTTCTTTATTTAAAAAAGAAAATAAAAATAAAAAAGCAATATTTCATTTATTTTCCATTCAGGCCCACATGTTTTGAATCTTTTAAATTCAGAAAGAAAATGGAGGAAACGAAAATTCAACTCATTTTTATTAAATTATCAAATATCCAAATTAATTAACAAATTTTAATCATTTCTTAAATACCTCATTATTTATGTGAGAGTATAATTGTCAATTTCTTATAATAACATTTTATTTCCTCTAAAATTTTGCTCTTTCAAACAAAGAAAAATTAATAACTTCATTTTCTTTCCTTCATTATATCCAAACACAAAAGTGAAAATAAGTATGGAGAGAAAATTAAAAATTCCTCATTATTTCCCTCTATTATTTCCTTTCCTCTCCTTTCCAAACAAAGCCTAAGTAAAAAAATAAAAGAAAAAAAAATATAATGTGTTGAGCTAAGTTACACGGACACTTTAAAAGATTCAACGTACCTGTGTCATACCTGTGTTACATAATGACACTCTTCAGATACTTCCAGACACGTGTCAGATATTTTAGAATGTACTATTATTTTGTTTTAATACATCTCAGACACTTTGAGAAAACTTTAGAGACACATTTACGAATTCTATTAGACTTTTAGTTAAATTCATTAACAAAAATTTTTAAAATTGTTGTCTTAAATTATATATTTGTGATTGTTAATAGTTAAAATAAAAAATTGAAAAGTACATGAAAGAATGAAGAAGAATGAAGAACTCTATCTTATAATCTTAATTTATAATTTATTTATTAAATTCAAGAATAGATTCACAATGTTAATTTGAAATCAACAATTCACAAAGCAAGAGTTGAAAAATTATATTGAACAAATTAAACTATAAAATTTCGTGAGGGATTAATTTGATCTCTTTGAATTCAAGAATAGATTCACAATGTTAATTTGAAATCAATAATTCACAAAGCAAGAGTTGAAAAAATTATATTGAACAAATTAAACTATAAAATATCGTGAGGGATTAATTTGATCTCTTTGAAGATGTTGAAATTCTTGAAATTATCAATTTATCTCTAAACAAGTTAGAAATGCTCTGATTTTTAATAATGATGTTAATTTCGAGAACTAATTATTTTAAAATAACAAATTAACCAGTTTTTAATTTCATATTCATTATTATAAATGATGGTTTACTTATTTGAATTATTAATAAATTATACTTATTTAATGTATCATGTTCTAAGCGTAGTGGTGTCCTATTTTCAGAAATTATTATATCTCTGTTGTGTCATGTCCCCCTGCTTGTCCCGTGTCTGTATAACCTAGGTGTTGAGTGAAGAATAACATGTTGGAAAGTAAAATTGATAGTTGATTTTTGATTGACAATTTTTTTTTTTTCTTTTTTGAATGCAAGTAATAATAATTTTGAAGTACAGCACTTGTTTATATTGGATGTATATTTATTGCGCATATACCCAGTTAGTAGTTGATTATGATTTAAAAAACTACCACTTTCTATTACTATTTCGTCTTTTGTTTTTTTTTTTAAATTTCAATTCAGTTTAATTTTTTTTGGATATATATATACATTTGACATTTTTTTTTTTTGGCTTACTATATGTCCCCATCCACTTATACGAATGGGACTAATCTACACTTGAATTAATATTGGTATTCAGGTAAATGTTAGGAATTGCTTATAAGCAATCCTAACTATTTTTTTTTTTTTAAAAAAAAAACTTAACAGTTCATTAATGATGAATATAAGTCCAGTATATTATAATATTCCTATAGTAATAAAAAATACAAATATAGAAAATTGAAATCTTTTGTTTTTGAATTTATTCTTGTTAGATATCAGTGCAGTAATAAACTCCAAGATTGATTAATAATTTATAACACAAAAAATAATAACGGAAAAGGTAACCAAAATAATACTAACACAAAACACCAAATAATAATTATAACACAAAAAATAATAACGCGGGAAAAGGTAACCAAAATAATACTACACAGAAACGACCAAATAAAATTGTATAATAAGAAGTAAACTTTCACAAATCCTTAAGGAAAAGAATTACCGTTGCTTCTTTTGGACTTGGGTTTTTGCGTTGGTTCTAGAAATGAGTGAGGAAATGAGGTGAGGGGTGGTATTTATAGACATTTCCACCTCCTCAATGTACGACTATGATTTACTTACAAAAATGTACGGTGGAGATTACATAGAGCATTTTAGAATAGGTGAGATATTTCATTAAAATATCTTGTGAGTGGGAGTATTCTAGAATATCCTTGGTATTTACACACCGTGTGGGCTTGGGACATCCATCTTTGGGTTTAGGGTTCCCACCTTTGGGCTTGAAGCTTGTTAAGTATTTAACTTATTGTGGTAGCCCATTTTAGTGGTTGTCTTTTCTAAATTAATTGGTGCTATTTTAATACTCTCCCTCAACGATTAATTTCTCTTTCTTCATCATTCCTGATTGTTGGCGAAAATCTTCATATTTATTTGCGTTAAAACTCTTTGTAAAGATATTGGCTGGTTGATCCTCCGTCTTGGTATATTTCATTTTAATCTCTCCTTGTAGAACCTTCTCTCTGATAAAGTGATAGTGAACCTCTTAGAACCTTCTCTCTGATAAAGTGATAGTGAACCTCCACGTGTTTTGTTCTCGCATGAAACACCGGATTCTCAGCCATTTGTATAGCTGAATGACTATTAGAATTCAACGGAATCGGACAGTCAAAGGGTTGATACAGATCGTTCATAAGCTGTGACAACCAAACACTTTCATGAGCTGCTGTTGCTGCTGCCCGATACTCAGCTTCTGTTGTGGAAAGTGACACTGTAGGTTGTCTCTGGCTGCACCAAGAGATTACTCCTGAACCAAGACTAAATGCATAGCCTGTTGTCGAGCGCCGAGTGTCGTGATCTCCTGCATAATCAGCATCGCAATATGTCGTGATCTCCTGCATAATCAGCATCGCAATATCCTTCCAACTTGATAATTTCACCTCTCTTGTATAAGATACCATAATCGATTGTACTTTTGACATAGCTCAATATTCTTCAAACTGCTTCCAAGTGAGGTTTCTTAGGCTTCTACATAAGTCGGCTGACTACTCCAACTGTAAAGGAAATGTCCAGCCGTGTCATAGTGAGATAGATTAGGCGTCACACTAGTTGTTTATACATAGTAGCATCTTCAAGATCATTCCCTTCATGAGCACACAGCTTGACATTAGCATCCATTGGAGTAGATATCGACTTGCATTCCATCATTCCAAACTCAGCAGATCAACTTTTCTTGCATTTACTTCTATTGTCTGAGGTAGCAAAACCTTTTCTTTGGCTTCTTCTATCATCCAATCCAAGGAAATCTTGAGCTTTCTAGCTCTTTCATCTTGAAACCGAGTAGTTAATTCTCTCGGATGAGGTTGAATTCGGATGAGTTGAATCTCTTCGATGTTATCCCTAGTGACTATTAAATCATCAACGTATACTAACACTATAGCTAGTCTTCCTTCTCGATCTTTCACAAACAAATTGGAGTCTGCTAGTGCCATAACATATCCATTCTTGATAAGGAATTCTACAATCTTGCCATACCAGGCCCTCGGTGCTTGTTTTAGACCATAGAGAGCTTTCCTCAGCTTGCACACAA